TCTAATTGATTTAATCAATCATTAGGAGGAGAGAGATGGGGGAGGCGGGCAGAGAGAGAGAGAAACTCTTACATTCATTTGTTCACTCCACAGTGGCGAGAGCTGGGCTGGTCCAAAGCCAGGAGCCAGGAGCTTCTTCTGGGTCACGTGGGTGGCAGGGGCCCAAACACTTGAGTCATCTTGCGCTGCTTTTCCAGGTGCAGTAACAGGAAGTTGGATTGGAAGTGAAACAGTCAGGACTCAAGACAGTGCCCATATGTGATGCTGACACTGCAGGAGGTAGCTTGACCCACTGCACCACAGCACCAGCCTCAGGGACACAATCTTATAAGAAGAAAACTCTAAAGACTCTATTTTGAAAACCACTGGATTTGATAAATAAATTCACCAAGTTAAAGGATACAAAATCAGCAAAAAATGGTATATTCACTCAATAGAAATTTGAAATGGAGGAACTACCACTAAAAAAAGCAATAGTAATATAATTAGAAAGCCAACACCCCGGGTTCTAGTCCCGGTTGGGCACCAGATTCTGTCCCGGTTGCTCCTCTTCCAGTCCAGCTCTCTGCTGTAGCCCTGGAAGGCAGTGGAGGATGGCCCAAGTGCTTAGGCCCTGCACCCTCATGGGAGACCAGGAGGAAGCACCTGGCTCCTGGCTTCGAGTCAGCGCAGTGCTCCAGCTGTAGCGGCCACTTGTGGGGTGAACCAATGGCAAAGGAAGACCTTTCTCTCTGTCTTTCTCTCTCTCTCACTAACTCTGCATGTCAAAAAAAAATAAAATAAAATAAAAAAGAACCTGTATTAAACTGGGTACCATTTATGGTATCATAAAACAAAGCAAAACAATATGACAGCCATTCATAAGAAACTCAGAGTCTGATGAAAATAATTGACTCTGTCTTTATGCCTTCCACTTAGATATCCTTGTTTAACACAATGGAACTGAGGGTTTTTTTTTTTTTTGGTGTATAATTTTCTTTTCATCTATATTACAAGGCTGAGAAAACTGGAGCTCATAGTGGCAATACTACATAACAAACTGCCCTGAGGAGCAGAAAATGCATGGATGTTCGTTTTTCACTGAGACCTTTATCAAATGTAAACCCCTCTGGATTTACAGCTGTAAGAGAATGGGGGACAAAATGCTGAGTTATTTAAGCCAGTTTGAACAACTAAAAGCATACTAATTATTAAATTCCCTAGACACAGTCATCTTCTGTATCCTCACCTTCACCTGTCCAAGTCAAGGTATCTGCCCTACACCTCTGCTCACACCACGTTATCCTCTCCTGGCTGTTAAAGCCCCTGAGTCATACGTGTTCTCTGTAGAAAGTGGCCCAAGGCTGCCTAGAGACAGCACCCAATGGACAGTTGCTGGTCCCTAACTTCTCTTCTGACTTCCCTGAGTCATGTAGTAGTTAGATGCAGATCAAGGCCCTAGTTCCTCCACAGGCCACAGTCTCATTGTTTATGTTACAGGTGAATACTTGCGTAAGGAAGGGAAAGCAAATGGACATATTTTTCATAAAATTTCTTCTTTGTTGTGTTTTCTGTCTTTGTTGTGTTTTATGATCTACGTTGACATCTGAAATATCACAACATGGCCTGGGCTTATTTATCCCAGCATATAAAATGCTATATTCCTGATAAGTAGGAACGGAAATTATTTCTGCAATTTGCCATTCCTTTTTTTTGGTTGTGTCTCTTTTTTGATTTAAAAAATTTGTTTAAGGAATACAAATTTCATATATAAAAATTTAGGAACATAGTAATTCTTCCCACCCTACCCTTCCTCCCACCCACACTTCCACCCTTCTTCCTCCTCCCTCCCTATTCTCATTCTTATTTTTCACAAAGATCGATTTTCAGTTAACTTTATATTCATAATATAAACTCTACATTAAGTAAAGAGTTCAACAAATAGTATGAAGAAAAAGCACTGTACCTCATCATTTGAAACAAGGACTATTCAAAATCATTACATCTCAAAGTATCAGTTTCACTCCAAATAGATTGCCTTTTATTGCCATTCCTCTTAAAAAAACTATTTTTAGACAACATATATCCTTTAATGAGGGTGAGCATAAAGGTATGGTGTAGACCTTGTTGTGCCTGTGCAAGTATTTCCCTCTCGAAAGCTCCTGATTTGAATGTGAAGGGTTTTCAAAGTAATCATGGAAATTGTGTAAATGAAAAACTATGCATGGGTTTCAAAAACTTGCATCAAAATAAACTTATCTTTCTCAACAAGCATTTTGAAGTCCCCTTATAAAAAGACCCCATCAGACTGATGTATACTTGATGGGAGCTCTGCATGGGATAGTCAAAGTGGCTAGAATCTACTGTTAATGCTGATTCTCACTGTTAATGCTACAGTGAACCTAAAAGTATGGGTCCTGCTGCCTCTGGTCTCCTATGTGAGTTTTTGTTTTGCATGTTCAATCTGGCTTAAACTAGGGAAGAGAGCTGTATTGAGCCATCTCTCCTAAATCTCCAGCTGTTTACAAAGTCCATGGAAAAAATATCACTGAATTTGGGGCACCTTCTCGAAAGTAGCATCGCACTACTGGAACCCATTACTTTTGTGTTGGTGATTCCATTCCCTTTCATGTCTTTTTCAGGTCTCATACTCCGTTGTCCCAGCTCTTCAGCTCCAGATCTAAAGACCCCTGCTCTACAGAAAACACTCCTTTGCTGAGGCATTCCTCATCAGAGAAAGGGTGAGACTTTTTCTCTTAAGAAATTAAGACATTTCTGAGCATTACCCTTGACATTTATGCTAAAGAATTCCTTCCTGAGATACATTTTTATCTGACATGTTGGTCCTTGTCAGATCCTTGACAATTCATTGTAGTAGATATTTAAGATTCTAGTGGTTGTGTTGTATGGCTTATGAATTTCACATGGCCTTGAGTAGAGCCCCACATTGATTATATAGCACACATACACATCCATACATGTACATAGCTCTGACAGGCTGTCTCATTAGAATGGGATTTCTCACTTAAATAAATCTTTTTATTAACAAAAGGGGCCAGTGCTGTGGCGCAGTGGGTTAATGCCCTGGCTTAGAGTGCTGGCATCCCATATGGGCACTGGTTTGAGTCTCGGCTGCTCTACTTCCAATCCAGCTCTCTGCTATGGCCTGGGAAAGCAGTAGAAGATGGCTCAAGTCCTTGGGCCCCTGCACCCACGTAGGAAACCCGGAAGAAGCTCCTAGCTTCTGGCTTCTGATTGGCACAGCTGAAGCCATTGCGGTCAATTGGAGAGTGAACCAGCGGATAGAAGACCTCTCTGTCTCTCTCTGCCTCTCCTCTCTCTCTCTAACTCTGACTTGCAAATAAATAAATAAATAAATCTTTTTTGAAAAAAGAATGAGATTTTTCACTTGGAGCTGAGAAATGTTTGGAGACAGTTTTGGTTGTCATACTAGGGGCTGGGGTTACTGAACTGGGCTTACTGGCATCTAAGGGTAGAGGGCAGGGATGCTCCTCAATACTCTGCAATGTACAGGACAGTTCCCACCATAAAATTTTATCTATTATAGACGTTAACAGTGATCAGGTTGAGATATGATCCACAAGATAATTCTGTTTTCTGTAAGACTGAAAACTTCTTTGGGACAAATTTTGATGGTTCTGGAATTGCCTGAGCAGAGATGATGTGGAAGTTGATTTACAGACATTTCTGGAATGAAAGGTTTGGCTCGGGCCTTCAAGCTCACTTATGCTACTTTCTGCAAATCCGGAAGTCTGGGCTACCTGCTCAGTATCTGCACGCTCTTCACACACTGCAAGTGTTGGGACATTGTCCTGAGTCTCCCTTTCCTGCCCGCTGACCCTGGGTACCTGTATTGACAGACAGGCTGCTGTGTCTCTTTCAGCTGACTTAGCCTCCGAGGAGCTGCCCACCAGAGCTCCTTCCGGCCCTGTCTGCAGCTGGAGGCAGAAGGTGGAGCTTCACGCTTGCTGTGTGCTGTGTAGGCTCCTGGTCTCGCTTTCTGAAGACTTGGATTTCCAGATTTGAATGGGGTGTGGGTATCTGGATTTTTCATCTTCCATTGAAGGGATGATCTTCTGGATCTCTCCGGGAGATTTCTGTTAACAAGTTCTGTGCCCCTACAAAGGTTTCCACTGAGCACTGTGAGAAGAGGAACTTCTGTCCCTCTCTGGATCTCCAGGGAAGTCCCATTCATGTTCAAGGGTGCTCCAATGTTACTTTCTTTGTGAAGCTTAGATTTCCTAACCTCCACTCCCACCGAGAGTCAGTGCTTTTCCTGTGCTTTCAAACATTGTAGGCGTGCCCTTATTTCTGAACATGTCTTGTGCTAAGCATGGTTATGCCTACAGGTCTGTACTTTCTTCATCCTATAGTCCTATGCCAAGCATAGAACCCGCCACTGGTCCTTCAGTGACTTGATGGGGGGTGGGTGCAAGCCGAAGCACTCCTGAGAACCCATTACTTAAATATTCTGTATATGGGGATAACTTAGTTCTTAGCTATATCTCCTAAAGAATAACTTTGAAAATAAGCACCTAATACATCTATTCCCTTGATGCTTTTTGTTGAACTACTCGGTAACATATTAAGGCCTGAGACACTTTAGAACTTGAAGCTCATTGTAAAACCAATAATGTATAAGCATTTGTCTCAGCCATTGGGACATAGAGACATCCCTAGCAGGCGGAAATGGGTCTTACGTCACAAACATCCTTTCAGAGGAGCAGAACATGGCACCAGATTTTTTTTATTTCAAAGGCAGAGTGACAAGGAGGGAGGAGAGGAAGAAGAGGGGAGAGAGAGAGAGGAATCTTCCACCCACTGGTTCACTCCGCAAATGCCTGCAACAGTTAAGTCTAGGCCAAGCCAAAGCCATTTTAGTTTCCCATGTGTCAGTGTCCCATGCACTTGAGCCATCATCTGCTGCCTCTGAGGCTCCTTAGTAGGAAGCTGGATCAGAAGTGTGGAGTGCCTGGAACTCTAACCAGTACTCGGATATAGGATATGGGAATTCCAAGCAGTGCCTTAACCCACTGCACCGCAATGCCTGCCCCACTTTGATGCAGTTTTAATCTGATCAAATGACTTATTAGGGTATCATCCATTGATTTACTTGCTTTTTGAAGTGAATGGTGGCCGGCGCTGCGGCTCACTAGGCTAATCCTCCGCCTGCGGCACTGGCACCCCGGGTTCTAGTCCCGGTTGGGGCGCCGGATTCTGTCCCGGTTGCCCCTCTTCCGGGCCAGCTCTCTGCTGTGGCCCTGGGAGTGCAGTGGAGGATGGCCCATTGCTTGGGCTCCTGCACCCGCATGGGAGACCAGGAGAAGCACCTGGCTCCTGCCATCAGATCAGCGTGGTGCGCCGGCTGTGGTGGCCATTGGAAGGTGAACCAACGGCAAAAGGAAGACCTTTCTCTCTGTCTCCCTCACTGTCTACTCTGCCTGTCAAAAAAAAAAAAAAAAAAGAACATGTCTTACATCTGCTGTGAGAACAGAGTGGTCCTTCATCACACAGTTATTCAAATTTAAATTAAAATAAAATGAAATTCAGTAATTCCATTCTTGAGCTGCATTATCCGGATTCCAAGTGGTCAGCAGCACATGTGGCTGCTGTAGTGGACAAGGCAGAGAACACTTCCATGGCCACAGAAAGTTCTATACAGGTCTGCTCCAAAAAGCCATGACATTAACTTGCTTTCCTCTTTCTACTGGGAGAAAGCAGTTTCCTTAGTTCAAATTTTTGTACAGTTGTGCCTTTTCAGTAATTATATAATAATTACATATATAACATATATATATAATTGTGCTTTTTCAGTAATTATAAGGGGAGTAATATTATTTCTCATATATTTGAGCTTTTTCAAGTCACAAAATCATAGAAAAATTATTTACTATTTTGAAAGCCATTTGTTTTCTTGTTACATATTGGTTTCATGAAGCCCAGTTTGTGTCTCTGGGCTTCTACTTCTGAGTAAGATTATTATTTTTTCTTTGTAGGTGAACCATTCTAAAGTAGTGATAAATGTTAAAGTGTCTCATAATGTCTTGTTGAGCTAGCTGGGTTCACGAGGCACCAACCACAGATCACAGCTGTTGTTAATGTCAGGATTGTGATTCCGGGAGTATTTCACACACTACGTGAACATCCTGGCTTTTGGTACCACCTTTCTAGAGCCAAGTGCAACTCTGCTGAAGAAATTGCTGTGACGCCCAGGGGATTGAAAAATGTACATGAGCATGTCCATATGTAATCCTGATAAAAATTTATGGTTCACCTGGATTCATTTCCTAGACCTAGAGTCTGTTCTTGAAGCACTGATGCTCTCCATTCTCACTGGATGTTGTCTGGGAAAGCCAGACGAGGAACCTTCCTTAGAGTTCCACTACAGAAATCTATTTATGCAGATGAGGAAAAGCTTACACCACTCACTCCGCTCCAGGACGAGTGTCACAGCCCTGTGTCCTGACGGCTCTGCCACATTTAGAGAGAAAGCAAGTACTGAAATGAGTGGGGATCTTGACTGAGCCAGAAACAGCTTCACTGAAAAGTCCCAAAGTCAGAAAAGGCTGACGTTTCTTGAATGTTCACAACTGATTTTGAAAACATGAGTGATCCCAGCAGTTCTTCTTTGATCACATTGTTCTATGATGCCAGGAAAGATCCCTTCCCGCCAGTGTGAAAGAGCGATACTTTTAAGGACCATATTGATTCCATGACACTTCACTAGTCGCCTTGGAGAGGAAATCTTATTTCGGAGAAGCTGTTGCAGGAAAAATAAGCACAAAGCTCTTGCTTTGCAGGCCCCTTTACCATCCAGAGTTCATCACTGCTGCAGAATCCTGGGAAAGCAGCTCTGCTGAGTGGGAGCGCCGATGCCTGCTGAGCAGAGAGGTGGAGGGCTTGTCTACGTCTGCCTCCTCGGAGAAGGGGGAGCTTCCAGAGGGCGCTCTGGTTGGATTCCGCCTCTCAAGACTGAGGTAGGAGGACCAGGAGTGCCAGCGCTGGTGGTGGTGGTGATGGCCACACCTGGCTTTCCACTTGTCCTGGGATTGGCCGAGGCGGGGTCTCACCCACACTTAAATGACAGTGAAGATGAGGATGAAGGTTTTTCACATATGGCCAGGTTGCACATTTCCTTCAAGGTTATCTGTCTTTTCCTGAGGCTTGAAAGACATTTAAGGTGGCTCAGCAAATCGGCGTGGAGCCTGTGAGGCTATGAGGAAGTTGGATCATAAACCTAAAAACTTACACCTACACTCTTCTTCCTGGGTGTGTCCTTGGAATCTTCACGGTCATTAGATTTGCAAGTACTCATAGAATCTGTTTGCTTCAGGAGTCTCTGTGACGTTTTAGAGTTTGAAATTATCTTTGCAGCTATAAGGGTTGGATTTAGTGCATGGCCCAGCCTGAGGGATGCCTGGGTTTCCCGCACTGTGGAAGCCTGGAGTTTAAGGCTGTGCATTCATGGAACAAAGGCTAACGTGTAGGCTGCATGAGCTCCAGAGGGCGGGCATGCATGAGGGGGCCCAGGGAGCTTTGCTTTATTGTGGGTGGTCCCCGGTGCTCTTGCTTTACCTGCTGGGATAACTTTCATATGCACATTTATGTAAAGGAGGGGTTCTTTTGGAGCAACATGTTTGAAAGCAGTGCCTCCAAGGACAAAACAAACCTGGGAGAGAGGACCAGTGGGACTCCATTCTGGATCTTCCCTGAAGTAATGGAGGGACTCTGGCAGGACCAGGCCTGGCTATGTGACTATCTCCAGTGGCCTGATGCCCTCCTATCCATGGCCTTCCATGGGTTTAGGCTAACATGATATGTGTGAAAGCCCTAGATAGGTGAAAAGCACGGTGCACCTGTGAGGGATTAGTGTTGTGTCAGTGTGTTAGGGGACCAGTCTTTTCTAAAGAGTTGATTGGAACTACATCCACCTGTGCTCAGAGGTGCACTTTCAAAGCCATGCTATGTACTGGGACTATCACCCAGTTACCTATTGCTCTCCTAACTGTTCTGGGAGTTAGATAGGGGGTATCTTAAGGAGAATAAGGATTTTGCTCAAGGATACACAGCTTTTGAACTAAGCCAAGGGCCAGCAACTTGCCCCCAGTTTCCCCATTGCTGCTTGACCATGGAGATACCTTTTCCTACCACCTGTAGCTTCTTCAGCATGACTGGTCTCTGCTCCTCTCATAGGGGTGGATGAATCGGCTAATGAATCTCCATGGAATTATGTGAAATTATGTGACTGGAGACCAGTCCCATGGGTCTTCAAGGTGATTAATCCCGACACTACTCATGCCTTTCCCTAAGTGTGTGGTTAACGGCCCCAGAAGGTGCCATGTCCCCAGTTATCTTGCAATATGGGAAAATAGAATCAAGTGCCTTAGAAACTATACATTCAGTGATTTGTCTTCTATTATTCATCAAATATTTGCCTTGACCATGCCACTGAACTAAAAAGGACTTCAGTGTCATTCTTTATATCTAGAAAGTACCATGCATGATCGGTGAAGAAACTTGTAAGGAATATTTTAATTTGGGTTGTCATCTCTGCTGTATAAGGCAGTTATGTAGAAAGAAATCTGTATTTAGAACATCTCAATTAATGCTTCATGCTTTAAAAAGAAATGTCATTTTGATTCTTATTTAAGTAGGTGCTGTTGAATCATAATTTGGAAGCATGAAATGATTATTCATCAAATTCATTAAATCTAAGAGAATGCAAACAAGATTTTACTATTTTAAAAAGGACCAGAAAGAAGGTTTTCAGAGATGAATAGAACTTAACGAAGTTCTATTAACCAAGTTAAATAGAACTTAACATGTGCCAACATAGACTTTCTTGCTTGATTCTACAAATGTGCATCTAGTATGGCCGATGTACCAACACCCTTTTGTGTGTGAGGACAGAGAAAAACACCCCAGTGCTTTCCCTCTCAGAGCAGCCAGTAGGAGAGCATGCCCTACCTCAATGGGATCTGGCTTCTGAGAGAGGGGAGAAGGGTGTGATGGAAGACTGCAGTCGGGAGCATCTCAGTGGGTCAAAGGCCCCATGGCCCAGTTGGGGAGCAAGGAGGAGGCTGATGTGACTGGAGGGACCACAGAGGGCAGGCCAGGCCCAGGTTCACATAGACCTTGGGGGCCATAGTTAAGAAAAGTAATAATGACTGGGCTGGAGAGGCTTCAGAAGTTGTCAGTGCAGGCTGAGTGTGTGGTTGATTATCTGTCATCTCCTATGGAATTCTTCAAAGACTATTCTAGGACAGCTAGTCACAATATTGAAGTTTCTTTCTTGCAGTATTTGGTTTTATATTTGATGATAAGTCTACATTCCCACCTTCCAGAAAGCTTAGTGGAAGATAATTGATAAACATGAATTGGAAAGCCAAGATAAGGCATTCAACTTACTTATTTCAAGGAAACTGGAGCCCTTTAAAAAGGCTCTAAAGAGCCCCAAATCTTGAATATTGGCTTCCATGGCAAGAAGACATCTGTAGTCATTGGGGGTTAACTTTATTTCCCTCCATAACATTCACAAGCTTCTTTAGATAAGGAAGTAGATTTACTGGCCAGCAATGTGCCCCCTTAATAAAGAAAGAATTCAACACACATGCTTTGGAGTGGAGATTACTCCAGGCTTTAGAGAGGTACCTGGGTTTGGTCAGTCTGGGCATGTGCAAACAGGACCACTGCCTGTGCCCCTTGGGGCCTGCTTTCTCTCTTGCAGGTGCTGCATGCGGTGGCTGAAAATCACAGGCTTGTTCGTCTTTGTGGTGTTGTGCTCTGTGAGTACCAGGGCTGCCCCCAGTGCTGCTGCTGGGTCAGGGGATATCCTGGGGGCTTCTGTGGGTGGGCACAGTCCTCTGGGTGTGTTGGGCTGGATGACATCAGGATCTGAGCTGTGAGACCCACTGTTTGGCCCACTTCCCCTGATTGTTTGACCTTTCTTTGATGAAGATGCTGAGGGCATGGAGGGGGTGGGCTGGAGGAGGGTATCAGGGACGCCTGCCGTTAGTCACAGGGACTGGGGCTGTGCATGTGCGTGTGTGGATTGTGTGTGTCCAAGTGTCTGTTCTCCTCAGCTGTGACATGAAGACAGCAAGGGTGATGTATGACATCAGTGCCGACTGAACTGAATCAAGTACAGTCAACTCCTAATATCCCAAGAGGGAGGAGAGCAATGGTTCAGAGACATAATCTATTCATGAAACAAGAACCGTTACAGTCTTCCCTTGGTATCCATAGAGATTCCACCCAGATACCAGAATTAATGGATGCTCAAGTCCTTATCAAGTGGTGTAGTATTTGCATATCACTTATGCATATCCTTTTGTACACTTTAAATCATTTCTAGACTATTGATAATACCCAATACAGCGTACATGCCATATAAATAGTAGTTGTGCTGTATTGTTTAGTGATTAATGATAAAAAATCTGTACATGTTCAGTAAGACAACTTTTGTAGGCCTAACTATGCTTTCAATCCATGGTTGGTTGAATCTTTGGGTGTGGAACTTGCAGATACAGGGGACTGACTGTATACTGAACTCTGAAAACTTCAAAATTTTCCAATATCCTTTCTACTTCCTCCTCACATGAGCGTGTGGTTTTGAGTCCCTCTCCCCTGCCCCACTGCTCAGTAGGGCCTGGGTGTGCACTGGAAAATTTGAGGGAGAGGTCAGAGTGGGCCAAGCCTCCTCTGATTTCAGGAGCTGACTTGAGCTTGATGTCTGTGTTCAGCCTTCATATGGGAGATGGAGTCTTGGTAATTTGTGGATACATCCCAAATGGAGTTTGAAGAGTTTGCTTTGAACATCTATGATGCATCCATCTGCACTTTACTTTCCGATGATGTGTAAAGCTTTTTGCAAACAAATACTACAACCACAACAGAGGTTGTATTCTTCTATTTTCCAATATGGAAAATCATGTTGATTTACCTTTGACAATCTAACTTTGTGGCCAGGCATTTAATCTTTAAAATTGGCAAATATCAATAACCAAGGCCTATTAGAGCTGAATGTAGCATCAGAATATTTTAATAAAAGGTATTCAGAATAAGCTGGTGAGTTTGGGGTACATAAATCATACATAACATCTCTGTTTAACTGTAGTAAAAATTATTTAAGTCCTATTGCTCTCATACCACAAATATATCATTAAATGTTTCTGATTGTTACAGATTTTATTCAGCCTGTATCCAGATCAAGGGAAGTTCTGGCAGTTGTTGGCTGTGTCACCACTGGAAAGCTACTGTATCCAAAATACACATGGAGATGGTCAGCCACCCATGGTTGAGATTTGCAAAGCAAAGGGACGCTCAACAACTATTACCACTTTGCTGAAGGTTGAAGCCTAGGCCATCACCATTCCTGTTGTCCTGTGTCTCCAGGACGTTTGGATAGATACAGGGCTCTGAAACAGAAGGAGAGGGGAGCTCTGTGAAGATTGTGCGATTGAGTGGTTGGTAATAAAGCACCCATGGAAGGTAACATGCAGAGTGGCACATTCTAGCTAGGAAAAGGCTTTCCCTTATCTCCAAAGTACAGTCTGTTCTGTGCCTTTTTCCCCACCACTGTCTTGTGCATTTCCTCTTGGGTGTTTCCTATTGACCCTGCCTCATAGTCACTGGTTCTTTCCTGATAATTGCTTTTCTTCTTCATTCTGCTTTCTCTTGCTTATTTGTATACCTTGGATTTAAAGCCAGATACATTGTGTAATATAGAAGATACTGAGGTCAGTAGTTTTGAAACTTGGAGATGAGCAAATCTTAACTTCCGTAGGCGCTAGTTGGGGGATTTATGAAAATCTTGTCAGAAGTTGGCTGTCTTGAGCCTTGTGGTTGCCATGGTAACCTCTGGTACACCAGACACTCTGAATTGCTGGGCCTCCTGCCAGCTGTCTGCTAGGCCTTGCTCTCTTCCAACCCATCTCTCCTCCCCCAGCTGCAAGATTTCCACTGCACCCTCAGGCTACTGGATTTGATGTACTTCCCAGGCAAATTACAGCTTTTGCTCCTTAGGAAAGGAGTTAAAGGAGGTGGGTGTGGGTAGAGTCTGGCGATGGCTGCTGCCGCCTCCCCAGCTGGCATCGTGGGGGCACTTTCTCAGAATTCTCTTCAGTCTTTTCTTCCCTGTGAGTGCCTGCCAGGCCTCCAAGAGGAAAAGCGTGTAAGAAGATGTGAACTTCCGTAGCTGTGACTTTCAGCGGCTTCTCATGCTAGCCCACATTTGACCTTGAGTAGTTTTAAAACTTTGTGATTTAGTCTTGCCTGCTTCTGTGGAAGCAGAGAGGCAGCAAAGCAGACCCCATTTCCCCCTGTAGTCAGCTTTGTTGTTCTAGCTCTCATTATTTTTCCCAGCCACCTCCTTCTGTTATAAGGAGTGAGGTATTAGTTAATGCTTGTCTAGCCTTTTCTGGTGGAAAGATTTCAGCGTATCCTGGCTGAGACTGGGAGCCTAAGTCTTTCTGAATATGGACATGTAGATTAACATATCTGAGCAACAGTTACTCGTGCTGTATATATTACCTGTCCAGTGGTCACTTGGTAGCCTTCTCAGATATCAGATCTACTGTCAAGTCGTCACAGGATCACAGTGTTTATGTTCAAATAGTCATTAGTTTTACTAAATAATGGCTCTAGGGATCTTAAGTAAGGATGCTGGCAATTCAGAAAAGCAAGCAAAGCTGTAAAGTGCTTCCTTCAAGTTAAAAGGTAAAAATTCTCAATGCATAATAGAGGATTTGGTCTTGTCTGTGGTTTAGGTGTCCACCGGAAGGCTTGGAATGTATCCTTAGCATTCAAGGAGGAAGGGACCAACTACTTTGTTGTCTTTAAAAAGAGAATTCATTCTTTTAGCGAACTAAATGGGAAATTTTTTTCTTTAGTATCTTTGATTCATGGTCTCGGTGAACTGAGATTTTAGGAACTTATGTGGCTTTCCTTATGATCACCTGTTTCAGTCTGTTGTTGCCTGGTCTTGTTTTCCTGAGTCTCTCTGTGACTTTCCAGAGCAGTCTTTCCCTGAGCCGAGTCATCTCCAAGAGAAAGGGCACTGTGGGCTTTCCAGAAGGTTCTGGTCTCAAGGCCTTCAGGGGAAGCCTGTGAGGAACGCTGATTGCAGCCCATGTGCATCCTCCCGTCTCAGTGAGTGGAAGTGCCCATCAGACCCACCCTTGAGCCAGGGTAGCTCTGATATCCACTTGAGTACATGCCCACGTCTTTGTGTTTTCTGCACCACCCTAAAACTGTCTCTGAGCTTTGGTTGAAGAGGTGTCTCCCTGTAAGAAGACTGCACAGATCTCTGATTTTAACACTCATGGTTTCTCCTTGTTGTGCCTCTACCTCTGTATCTTCTCCGCAGGTTAGAAAAATTATGACTTCTTCCTCCTCTTTTTACCCAACTCTCCCTGAGGTCTTCTCCAAGCACTGGCTTCATCGTGGCCCCAGGACATGGACACTAGTCACCCTTTGGTTGATTTCCCGGCAGGTGCTTATAACCTATTGCAGAACTCAAGGGGACAGATTGGGTCCTGTTCAGAAATTATTTTCAATGAGACTTGGCTGAGTTGGGGAGGTGCTGGGTAAGTCTGGTGATCAGACACATTTAGAGCTCTTCATGGAGCAGCCTGGGCCAAGAGCAACACTAACAGCCTTGTCCATCAGCAGGAAGCCCAGTAAGCCTGGCAGGGCCAGGCACTAAGTCCACCCGAGAGCACACAGAAACTCTTCTGCCACCCCACTGAAGACTGCACTGAGTCATTTTTAGTCGAAAGCATTTGGTGAAGTTCCTGCCCAAGCAGTGAGTGTGCTAGGCCCTGCCTAGGACTGAATGGCCTGAGTACATCCCAGCAGGCTGCTGGCTGGCCTCACTTTCGTAGCAGCAGGACTGACCAGGGAGCTCTCTGTCCTGCTCCCCGAATGCCTGCCTGTTTGGATGGGAGAGATGGAAAGAGTCAGGCAAGCAGGCAGGGACACTGCAGAGTGGTCCATAAGGTCTATGGAGCCTCATCCTCTTTGGGGGCTGATTCTGATTTCCCACATGACCCTCAGAAGGTTGCCCAATGTTCCCATGGATATCCCACAGATCTCTGGAAGCTCACGGACCCTCTCCCAAGACCCTGGGCTAAGAACCTGCTGCGGGGGGTTTGTGAAAGCTGCCAGCCTTGGGCCAGCCTGGGGTGAAGGTGCAGCAGAGGACAGTTCTGGATGCCCCAGGAGCAAAGTGCTGCAGAGAGATGGCTCAGACCTTTGAAGATGATTCTCAGGGACAGCCCATAAGTGAAGGCCTGTGGCGGAAGGAGATTCAGGGCTGGTCTTCATGGTGTCATCTGACTGAGGAGCCCTGTGCCTTCCCTTCTTGACCTTTGACTGGGCCCCTGCATGGGGTCTGCATGAGGGACACCGGAGATGCCTGTTGAGACAGGAAGGGCTTTTGCAGAAAGCACCACTCTTTAGCTGGGGAAGGAAGAAGCTACCTCTCCCTTGTGAACTTCTGCATCTCCTTGTAACGGTTGTGCTGTGTTAGCTCATTAATTGCAGGGTTAATTTTAGAAGCCTGTAACTGCAGGCACCTGAAGTTCTTTGTCTCTGTATTCTTGTCTGTTGGTGATAGTGGTGGTGGTAATGGGGCAGCTGTCAAAGGCTCCTAAGTCATTAGGCAAATGAATAGAGGCCAGCAAAACTTTACCAGAATCTAAGGCTCAGCCTTTCTTCCTCTTTCCCCTCCTTCATTCTCTTTCTTCTTCCCTCCCTCCTTCTTATGTGGTTGATTTCCCATCATACCCTGATAGCAGCCTGGGCTATCAGAGAATGTAAAGGAAACACTATGCTTAGTGTAGTGAATGCAGGCAGTCTTTACCCCATCTGCCTAGATTCTCCAACTGGGACCCTGTAAATTAGACTAACACAAGACAAATTAACAAGAGAAAAACACACCAATTTATTTAATTTAAGCTTAATCTGACCCAGGAGACATCATAAGGAATTGAAGATCTAAGGAAATAATTAAGTCTGAATGTTTTCAGACTAGGTTTGATGAAGAGTGGGGTCACAGAGCAATGTGATGGTACAAAAGGGTATAGGCAGGGTTATGAGCTAAGGGTAGTAAATTGGGGGAAACTTGGCAAGGCCTGCTCACTCAGATTCTTCCTGGTGTCCCTCCATTTTCAAAGATAATGATGCATCCTTTTTCCAGATACAGGAGTGCATCTCTCACACAAGGGTCTTATGACCTACTTCAGGGGAGGGAGGGAGGGAGGAAGAGTCATGCTCCTTCCTGTGCCTGCCATTCCTCAAATTAAAATATTCACTAGGCAAGGTGCCATGTTTAAGGGAGCGTCTTTTAAATCTTGTCAGCAGTGGTGGGTTTCTCTCCTTTCCCATTCTTCTTCAATTATACCTTAAGCTCCTTAGATTATTCCAAAACTTTGTTGTACACTATAGTAGCTATTGGATACCTGTGGTTCTTTAAATTTAAAATACATTAATGAAGTAGATAAAACTAAAATTTTACTTCCTCATTCACACCAGCCACATTTCAAGTGCTGAGTAGCCATGTGTGATTAGTGGCTACTATATGAGATAGTGAAGATATCGGACATTTGTATCACCACAGATTGTTCTGTTGGAAATCACAGCTATAGAAATTAAGGGAGACTGCCCATTTGGAACTAATTGCTGGAGGAAAATATGTTTGTACCAGATAGATTTATTTTTAATGAATTGATCAATTTTTTATCTTTCATACTTCATCATAGAATGTTGTTCCCACTTTTATGATGAAGACAGATTTGATGGGCTCCCACTTTTTTTACCTGTGTTCAATCAAGCAAAGGGTGTGCCAAAAATTGCACTGTGCAGACAGGTAAGGAAGATTTTACTCAAGACTATTGCGTGGAAGAGAAAGCACGAACCCAACTCTGAATACAATGTGATGAGTAGGGATTTATAGCCACCAAAGATTGATGGAGGGTTTGGAAAACTATGTAGAGGTACAGAGGGGAGGGCTTATTAGTCAGAGTTCTCCAAAGAATGACAACCAATAGGATATATAAATAAATGTACTTTGAAGAGTTTGTGGAAAAATGAATTTAAATCTGTATTTATTTTGGTGTAAAAGTTTTTGAAATCCATGCATATGCAGGGTATTTAGGAAATTCATGGAAGTGCCTATTAAGAAAAAAGTTATATATGGCTTTAAAAGTTTTTGTACCAAATAGACTTATCTTTAAAAATTTTTTTTAAAAATGTATTTATCTGAGAGACAGAGATCTAGACACACACACAGAGAAGAATCTCATCCCCTGGTTCATTCCTGAAATGTCAACAGTGGCTGGGGCTGTGCCACGCTGAAACCAGGAGCTGGGAACTCAGTGCAGGTTTCCCTTGTGGGCAGAAGGAACCCAGTTACTTGAGCCATCGCTGCTGCATCCTAGAGTCTGTATTAGCAGAAAACTGGAGGAGCCAGAGCCCGGAATTGAACCCAGGTACTCTGATGTCAGTTATGGTGTCCTAACTTGTATCTCAGTTCCTAGGCCAAATGCCTGTTCCCAAACTTAACTTTTAATTCCAGTTTCCCATGAACTGTTTGAAGTATCTTCACATGTACAGAAAGAGATTTACTGGGGCCGGCACCATGGCTCGCTTGGTTAATACTCTGCCTGCGGTGCCCACATCCCATACGGGCACCGGGTTCTAGTCCCAGTTGCTCCTCTTCCAGTCCAGCTCTCTGCTGTGGCCCGGGAAGGCAGTGGAGGATGGTCCAAGTGCTTGGGCGCCTGCACCCGCATGGGAGACCAGGAAGAAGCACCTGGCTCCTGGCTTCAGATTGGCATAACTCCGGCCGTAGCGGCCATTTGGGGAATGAACCAACGGAAGGAAGACCTTTCTATCTGTCTTTCTCTCTCACTGTCTAACTCTATCTGTCAAATAAAAAAAAGAAAGATTTATTATAAGATATTGGTTCATATGATTACAGAGGCCTAGAAGTCTGTAATATGTTCTTTACAAACTGGAGATCCAGGAAAGCCAGTGGCATATCTTGAAGATGTGAGCGTCAGAGAGTCAGTAGTGTAGATTTCCATCCAAATACAAAGACCTGAGAACTAGGAATCTCTAGGGCAAGAGATGGGTGCCTCAGCTCAGTAGTGGAGGGAAGTGGAGAGAGAGAGAATGAATATGAATGTGAGTGAGTGCACATTCTTCTTCATTCTACCTTTTATTCTATCTGGGCCCTCATGGATCAGATGATGATCACCTGCGCTGGGGAAGGAAGATCTTTTGTGCTCAGTCTGCAAATTCAAATGTTAATCTCTTTTGGAAACACCTTCCCAGACTTACTTAGAATTAATGTTTCACCAAATATCTGGGCATCCTGTAGTCCAGTCAAATCAACACAAACATTAGCTATCATAGGAGGTGAAGAGGAACTTGAATGACTCTCAAGGATGGGGGGATTTATTGCTGAAATTTGACTCAGAGATCAAGAATAAAACCAAGATCAAGGTCTAGTACAGAAGAGGGCTCCAAAAAGTTTTTCTAATGAGGGAATCCTTGCCAGGGGTTAACTGAGCTCAGTCTTTGAGGTTTCTGTAGCATCTTGAAGGACAAGCGTTTGAGGACTCTACAGCTTCGGTGTGAATGAAAGTGCCTTCCCAGGTTCTCCCAGACTTGTTCCATTCCTGGCAGCAGCACTCTCTCTGCTGGTCATTATTCCACTGGTGTATCTTTCCCCTCAGCATGCATGGGGCCTCCCAGATGGCTTCCTGCACTAGGGCAGCCTGCAGCGGAACAGAGGAGGTGGTCTACAGTGGTGATAAGTTGGAAAATTAGTATGACATAGTTCCTTTCTCTGAGGAGCTAGATCAGTTGAGGAGGAAAATCTAAACGAAAGTACAGCCTGGGGAGAGTAAACACTTTAATGAGAATATGCACAGTCATCAGAACACAGGAAGATGGAATAGAGTCTGCTGGAGTGGAGATGCAGGTGACAAGGAAAGACATAGGGATAGGATAGTGTGAATGAGATATTAGAAGAGAAGAGGGCTTCTCCAGGTGTGGGGAAGAGCACTTGAGGGACAGGCACCATTTTAGAAGAAGGTATTGAAATGTGCTAGGAACCTAGTGAATAGTTTAGTGTAACCAGAAAGTATCAAAGATGGATGAGAGAGTGGGGCTCCTATTTGCTGGGGTCTGGAAGTCACTTCTAACGCCAGAATATCAGGGCCTGCTTTGTACTCTAAGCATGCAATTAGTACCTGCAATGGTGAGAAAAAAAGGAAGGGTGGCTGTGTGTGCAGGCTGTGTCTCTTGGATTTTTGGTGCACTCTGTTTGAATGGTGAGTCACTGAGGTTTTAATTGTTACCTGGCTGTCTCCCCCTGAGAATAAACACCTTATTCTATATATTTCATTATGTTTATGCAATAGATGGTCTGGAAACCAATGATCTGGAAGGAGAAGCCTGCTGTTCTGATGGTAGCCTCTAGGTGGCGATGCTCTATCTCCTGCCGGTCTGCAAGGTCTTTGGAGCTCAAGCTGTTTAAAATTTTTTCTCCAGTCTGATTTGGGGAAAGACTAGGACAGGAATAATTGCAGGTGTTTCAGAAGCAATAAGGGCTCTTTGGGCCCTTTCTTAGTACGTTTTGCCTCACGTGTGACTTCCATTTTCCATTTGTTGTTTTTTGGAGGCTGAGTAGCAGCACAGATGTGTGGAGGGGCTAATCGACTGAGTGCTAGGGAAGGCTGCCCATTCTGGGTTCTCAGAGAGACAACATTCTGATCACACACTTTATCAGAATGTTTTTGTACTTTTTTGTGGGAAGAACAGAGCAATGAAAAGAGTTAACCACTCTTGGACCCCTCCCCAACACACAATGAAAATCCCTTAGGAACACTAGCAATGGTGAGGTTTTATCTCCTTCCTAAGTCTGCTCCATGAACCATCTGCTTTTAGGGATTTAAGGAAAGATAAAGGAATTGGTTATGGAATCATCCTCAAACCCGTGAGCTGCTGCTAGCAGACTGTTGAGACCTGATATAAAGCACAAACGGTTGTGACATTTATTTTTCCATTTACAACACTTTTGTCTTCTGGATCAAAGTGAATGGCCTAGCTATTGTGTAGAGTCCATGTCACTATTGTCCCCAGGACCTGGTAGCAGAGGTGGGAGGCTATGAGAGCCATCCCAGAGCAGAGAGCCTGGGCTTCTACATTTGTACAGCATGCATATGTTGGGATGTAGGAGACAAGGGGCATGAGCTGCCATAGGGGCATAAGTGCCATGGAAGGGCATTCTGCCGTAGGAGGAGCCTCTTTTCTTGATAGATCTTTCCTGAACAAGAATCTTTCACACACTTTGAAGGAATTGCTACCCTTTAACTACGGTGGATGTCACTGATTTTGCCAATTTCAGAGCTCATATTTTGAATTTCTTTGATGTGTATATTTTCATCTTACAAACAGGGCATCACTACCTTAGGATTGGGATGTGGATCAGTTCATTCATGCAAGCATACTGCCTACAGCTCACCCTGGATCCAGGAACTTGCGTAGGATTTTCATGATGGGTGCAAAAAAAATGGAATTAGAAACGATAATAGGACTGGGGAGACACCAGTTAGACCTTCAACTAGAGAATGCTAAGCATATTCAAATGACACAAAACCAACTGCATGTGTAGGAGTAAGAGGTTGAAGAGATAAGAAGTGGTCAGGGTCTTGGGGCAATTGGAAGAAATTCCCAAATGTGCATTTCTTTGTATGTTGTCCAAGGAGTGTCTGCATCTGGTGAGTGGCAGGCGGACATTGGGATTCTGCTCTTTGCTTTGTGCTTCACCTTGACACACCCCCAGCTCTGAACCTCAGCAGCCGTGCTGATTCCACGTTACTCCAGGTGGACCTGGCAGGGTCCCTGACAGCTGGCGGGCCAAGTCGTCCCGGGAGAGAAGAGCATGTCGTGGTAGAGGTGACCCAGACGGATGCTTCAGGTTCCAGGAGGCGGCGGCCACAGCAGGTTACGCTTATAAGTTATTTGAAAGGAATTGTAAAATTTCATTTCATCTATTATAAACTGAGTTTCCTCTTGAATGGATTTGATGGGAAGCCATCAGGCAGTGACACCATTATTAGTCAAGCCATTGACGCTTATCTTTTGCTTTGTCTTTGAAATTTTCTTATTCCCTTTTCTCTAAGTCATTTATAAAACTCTCAATATCTCAGTAGAAATAGGGTTGTTGATTCTTTATTCAGAACCATTTTGCTGGGCCATTGAGGTAAACTTTATATATTTGAAAGTAGTTGTTCTTTGCTGATAAAGCACAATTAAAGCCCGTGCCGCGGCTCAATAGGCTAATCCTCCGCCTAGCTACGCTGGCACCCCAGGGTTCTAGTCCCGGTCGGGGCTCTGGATTCTGTCCTGGTTGCCCCTCTTCCAGGCCAGCTCTCTGCTGTGGCCCGGGAGTGCAGTGGAGGATGGCCCAAGTGCTTGGGCCCTGCACCCCATGGGAGACCAGGATAAGCACCTGGCTTCTGCCTTCGGATTGGCGCGGTGCGCCGGCCGCAGCGCGTGGGCCGCAGCGGCCATTGGAGGGTGAACCAACGGCAAAGGAAGATCTGTCTCTCTGTCTCTCTCTCTCTCACTGTCTAACTCTGCCTGTAAAAAAAAAAAAAAAAAAAAAAAAAAAAAAAAGGCACAATTAAGTCTGGGCCTTGGAGCCAATGTTGTGGCACAGTGGGTAAAGCAGCCTCCTGCAGCACCGGCATCTCACAGGGGTACGAGTTCATGTCCTTTTCTTGATGAATCTTCTGATTCAGCTCCTTGCTAATGTGCCTGTGGAAAGCAGTGGAAGATGGCCCAATTGTTTGGGGCCCTGCAACCCATGTGGGAGACCCTGATGAAGCTCCTGGCTCCTGGCTTCTTCCTGGTCCAGTGCTGGCCATTGCTGGCCATTGTGGCCATCTGGGGAGTGAACCAGGGGATGAAAGATCTGTCTCTTTCTCTATGTGTCTCTCTGTCTCAATGTAACTCTGGCTTTCAAAATAAATAAGTAAACTATATATATATATATATATATATATATATATATATATATAAATAAATCTGGGCTTTCCCCATTGAATAGAAGACACACCACCAGCACAGTTCCCTTTGTGGGTGCTTGATAAGCCTGTGCTTAGGTTCCCTGAGCTTCTGCATCTATACTGATGGGCTCGTGGGCTCCTGTACTTAGTCTTGTCTCTGAGATCCAGAACCCTCAGCTCACAGCCTGTGAAGGCAGCCTGCACACTGCAAGGAGAGCCAGCAGTGATTGCCATGATAGCCTGGAGCCTAGAGGGGAAGGCGTGGCCCTTCTCCATGAAGCTTAACTATCCCCTGAATCCGGGCCTTGGTGACTCCAGTAGATTATAATGGTGACTTCTACATGGACATTATATGTCTAGTCTGTGGGTTTTCCCAGTGATAACCAATAGAAGAAAACCCTGCTTATGTGTGTGGCTGTGTCATCTAAAGTAGAGCATCTGATGAATTAACACATCTTGCTCATTTTCCTGTTGTGTAGAGAATGGTCCACAGAGCAGAGGTCTCATGATGAAAGAGGATGCGGTTTACTTGGCGATGGCCCATGCAACACCAGGGTCCTAAACTGGTTGCTCTGGCACAGTCTTAGCTTGTAAACTTGGTGCCTCTGTGTGATGTGCACAGCACACTGACAAGTTGGTAATGAACAAGGAGGGCACACTTCTGTCTGCTTTGTGTCTGTGAATCTTGTGTGGAAGAAGGAGGGAACTTAACAAAATCTTCAATCTTTATTTTATAATTAAAGAAATTTTTAATTGTCCATATTTATGTGGTACAGTATGATTAATTAGATACCTGTAATGAGCAAATTAGAGTAATTAGCATTTCCATTTCCTTAATCATTTATCATTTCTACATGTTGAGAAGCTTAGATTCTTCTAGTTATTTTGAAATATATAATAAATTGTTGGTTATAGCCCACCTATTTCACTATGGGACACTAGAACTCATTCCTCCTGTCTAGTTGCCTTCTCAGCACATACATTTATAACCTCAGATAAATGAGCTGGCCCGAGCTTCTCTACTCTGATGGGAAGGCCCTTTGTAATGTGTCGACACACCTAAAATGCCCACATACGAATCCATCTCCGGAAACACAAAGCACACAAGAGATCCTTACTAAATGATGTTTTGAATATACTCTTTAGAAACGCTGAAGTGTTTCAAGAGAACTGTTCTCTCATGCGTGTCTTCCTCCTCTGCTTCAACCTATTTCAGGGTTCTTATTTCCAATTTCCTTTGTGCCCTCCTCCTGTCTGCCAGGCTTGCTCTCTGCTCATGTCACCCTCTCCCACTCCTGCTGTACTCACTCCAGCTCCTCTCAACTGGTTCTTCTCCATTGCGCTGGCTTGGGGATAAGAACGTGAGGAGAAGATGAGGCTCCATCTTGGGGGCCCTCCCTTGAAGAAGCTTCTGTGACCCAAGGATGTGGAGAATTTTCTTGGAGTGCTTTTGTTTTCCCCCAGATTGCAAGTAGGAAGCAGTTCTAAGAAAACATTTCTTGTAAGTTGCCTTAGTGGGCTCAGAAGGCTATTTTAAGTCCCCAGTAATATGTAGTGATTGATTTTTTTTCACATAATCAATACAGTTGGCCTTTGGTATCCATGGGTTTTACATCCACAAATTCAACCAGCCACAGATAGAAATTATTAAAAAATTACAGAGCATGTATAGACATTTTCCTTATTATTCCCTAAACAATACAGTATAATAATGATTTACATAGAATTTACATTGTATTAAGTATTACAAATAATGATTCAAAGTAAATGGGAAGATATATATAGGCTATATGCAAATATTATGCCATTTAAAGATTATTTATATATTTATTTGAGAGAGAAAGAGTGAATTCTCTCCCACTGGTTCAGTTCCTGAATCCCTGCAATATCTGGGGCTGGACTGGGGCCAGAGCCTTGAGCCAGCATCATAATCCAGGTCTTACATGTGGGTGACAGGAACCCAGTTACTCGAGCCATTAGTAATTTGCTCCCCGGGGTCTGCGTTAGCCAGAAGCTGAGCTAGAATCAGGAACTGCAGCTGGGAAGTGAACCCAGGAACCCTAATGTGGGATGTGTGAATCTTAACAACTAGGGTAAATGTCTGCTCACTAATACATCATTTTATATAAGGAATGCATGTCTGCAGGTTTTGTTATACAAGGAGGGTCTGGAATCAATCCTGGTAGATTCCAAGAGTATTTACTTCTATCTGTATTTACTACTTATCTGTATTTTCTTCTATCTTTTCATAACTTTATATACTAATTTTATATTCATACTTTTGTATTCTTTTTTCCCCACTTAAAAAAAGCTCTTTGGAAGTTTCCAGTTCCATACCACCTGTACTTGCTCCTAATACTGGGGTTGTGCATGTCCATATCAAAGTTCACTGTTCATCTCTTTCTCTTTGTCCATTCTATAAAATACCTAAACTGAGTGACAACAACTCCCAGCTGACTTTTCAAGCAAAAAGTCTGACTTTATACTTTGTCTTTTACAGGTCATTCACAATTGGACAGTATTTTTAAATCCAGGAAGTGAACACTCCGTGGTGAGCAAGACCTTTGAGATTTTGAGCAGGTGGGTTCTCAGGCAGATTAGGTCTGGGGCAGATTCTCTGGACAAACCCACTGTCCAAGTCTGTTTTCTGTTGCTGTAACAGAATACCTGAGGCTAGGTGATTTATAAGGAACTGAGTTTATTTTGGATCACTGTTCTGGAGGCTGGAAAATCCAAAAGTGATGCTGACATCTGCTTGCCTTCTGAAGGCCCTCTTGTTACACTGGAGTGTGGCAGGGGGCACCAAGTGGCGAGACAGCAAGCCCGCTAGCCTAAGTCTCCCTTCTCTTCTTTTTTTTTATTTTTATTTTTTATTTTTGACAGGCAGAGTGGACAGTGAGAGAGAAAGGTCTTCCTTTGCCGTTGGTTCACCCTCCAATGGCCGCCATGGCTGGCACGCTGCGGCCGGCACACCGTGCTGGTCCGAATCCAGGAGCCAAGTGCTTCTCCTGGTCTCCCATGGGGTGCAGGGCCCAAGCACTTGGGCCATCCTCCACTGCCTTCCCTGGCCACAGCAGAGAGCTGGCCTGGAAGAGGGGCAACCAGGACAGAATCCGGCGCCCCGACGGGGACTAGAACCCGGTGTGCCGGCGCTGCAGGCGGAGGATCAGTCTATTGAGCCGCAGCACCGGCCTCCTTTCTCTTCTTATAAAGCCACTAATGCCAGCATGGGGACCAAGACTTGTGATTTCACCGAATCCTAAGTCCCTTTCAAATGCTTTACCTACAAATACTATTAACTATATGATTTGGGAGCTTGTTTCCAACACAGGAAATTTGTGGGATATATTCAAACACTAGAAGTCACCTAAAAACGTTTTAACTCATGGGACACCAAGCTTGTCACAAATAGTCCCAGGTCAGTTATGTGGCTTGACCAAAAACAAAAAACAAAAAAGAAAAAAAGAAAGAAAACAACAACAACAAAAACCTCATGTTGTGTAGACAGAGGAAACAAGGCCTGTGGGAGGATAGCAGGGTCGTCTGTGCCAAGACAGAAAAGGATTGTTTCAGAATCCAGCTGGAAGCCCATGATATATTTTAGCTGATGCTCTAATTTTCTTAATACTACAAAACAATATGATACAATAGGGAATTCTAGGAAGTTTAGGATTCCCCTCCCCTCTTTTAAAAGATTTATTATTTATTTGAAAGGCAGAGTTACAGAGAGTGGGAGAGGGAGAGAAGGAAGGAGGGAGGGAGGGAGGGAGGCAGGGAGGCAGGGAAGGAAGGAAGGAGGGAAGGAGGGAAGGAGGGAAGGAGGGAAGGAGGGAAGGAGGGAAGGAGGGAAGGAGGGAGAGAGGGAGAGGGAGAGGGAGAGGGAGAGGGAGAGAGAGAGAGAGAAACAGAGCTGGGGCTGGTTTAGCCCAAAGCCAGGAGCTTCATTCAGGTCTCTCATGTAGGTGACAGGGCCTCAGGTACTTGGGCCATCTTTCTGATGCTTTCCCAATAGCATTAGCAGGGAGCTGGATGGGAAGTGGAGCAGTGGGGACTCGAACTGGCACTCATATGGGACACCAGTGTCATAGGCAGTGGCTTAACACTCTGTACCACAATGACACTCTCACCCCTTTTTCGTAGACTAATGACTTTTACATATTCAGTCTGTTCTCATGGTTACCATTTTATCCCAGGCTGTCATAACAAAGTGTCTCAACCTGGATGACCTAAACATCAGACATGCATTTTATCATAGTTCTGGAACTTGGGAGTCTACGACCAAAGCATTGGCAGTGTTGGTTTCTCCAGATGGCCACCTCTTCCTTGTGACTTCTGGTCTCCTTCGAGTATGTCTGTGACTTAATCTCTTATAAGAATGTCAGTCTATTGGATTGAGTAGGAGTCACCCTAGTGATCTCATTTAATCTTTATTACCTCTTTAAGACCCTACCTCAAATGTACTCACATTCTGAGGTATTAGGGGTTAGGACTTCAACATATAATTTTTTTTTCAGTTAAGGGGGATGACACAATTCAGTCTGTGAAAACTGTGAAGTGACCTTTCAAAAAAGTGCTTCCAGGGCTGGCATTGTGGCGTAGTGGGGTAAGCCACTGCTTGCAGCACCTGCATCCCATATGGGTGCTGGTTCATGTCCTGGCTGCTCTCCTTCCAATCCAGCTTCTTGCTAATGTGACTGGGAAAGCAGTGGAGGATGGCAGAAGTATTTGTGCCCCTGCCACTCATGTGGAAGACCAAGATGAAACCCCTGGCTTCTGGCTCCTGGCTCCTGGCTTCGACCTGGCCTAATCCAAGCCATTGTGGCAATTTGGGGAGTGAATCAGTGGATGGAGGAGCTCTCTCTCTCTATGTGATTTTGACTTTCAAAATAAATAAATAAATCTCTTAAATAAAGCGCTTCTGTTTCAACATGCATCAGACTCTTGATTTTCAGGCTTCTTGTTTATGATGGTTTCTCCAACATCAGGGACTGAAGTTTAAAGAGTTGGCTTTGCAGGTAAAGCCATCTGGTATGTTGGTAAGGAGGAAGTGAGGAGACTAAAGGGTACAATCAACTGTGCTCTTTGTTAATTATTGGAGTGGCACCTGCAGGACCAGGCTTAGACACAAGCAGGCTGCATTCTGCATCCCATACCACTGACCTGTGCTCAGTGCTCTTTTGTCGATGACATCAGGCACTGATGAACAAATGAACAGATTCATCTGGACTCGGGTTATGGCCATGTCTGACTTGTGCTAGAAAGGACAGAGCAGAAGGGACGCTAACTGTTGATCGAGGATTTGTTTCCTTTGCCAGCTGTAAGGTCTTTGCTTCATTCTGCAGGGAGACGGTTTCCATCCACATTCGGGCCGCCCTGCAGCAGACCCAGGTGGTCCCTCTTTTGCTGGCTCATCAGTACCTCCGTGCAAGCGTGGAAGCACAAGTGACCATCGCTGCAGCCATCCTCGCGGGGGTCTATGGCCTGATTATATTTGAGGTAACGTTCGTGCCTGCTTCCTTTCATCTGTGCTCATCGTCAAGGTATTTTAACTTGTTAGATGCTCTGGATCAGTCCAGTCCACCACTTAATTGAGAATAAACGTTGGCAGGTCCATCACTATATGCTGAAAATAGAAGTGTACTGGATTTTTACTGAATCTTGGCTGTTGGCATATGCAGTGAGGAGTTTTGGGCAGACCAGTCAAACTGAACCTGAGAAAGTGGAACAGGCATGTGATTTTCTACCCTATTGCCACTGCTCACCCCAAGTGTGACTTTCAGGGATGGCAACAAGGAGATGAGCTTTGAACTCCTCTGAGACTCAAGGTCTTCTTCTCTATCATGGGAATGTTAATAACTCCCTTCCCGCTTCTTAGGATGCATGTGAAAGGGACACAGAAGCCCTTGGGCTATCAGTGGGAAAGAACCGACTTGCATTTATCAACTGGCTGATGAGAATTTCCACAAATGGTTTTATGCCTTGTCAACTTGTTGGGAAATTTTAAGTGTGGATGTACCTTCAGTAGTGTGGAGCAAAGTGCAAACACTTCCCAGGCCAGGCAGGGCCACTGTTAACTGAATGGTGAAACCAAAGTATACAGCAGCATGTTGGCAGAAGGGTTGGCTCTGTACTTTGAGCCTGGGAGGTCAGGAAAGGATATGACTCTGAAGAGGTGCTTCTTACTGAGGTTGGTCTAGGCATGAAAAATAACTTGGAGTTATCAAGGAAATAGCTGGCAGTAGGAATGGCCAGGAAAATTCCATAACCTTGGTTGTGGTTGTCCAGTCTGCTTGGTGCTTAGTTCCAGTAAGTTCAGGCCCCACTTATCTAACAAGTTTGGCTGTTGTATTGTTAATGTTTATTTTTATTCTAGAACAGCTTTATTCTCTATGTTCACTATCTAATTTCTTTTTAATCAATATTATCATTATTCTTGGGCTTCCAAGACCACCTAGACACTCTGTGATTAGCTAGCAAGACTCAGACTCACAGACAGCTGACTCTGGGCTATGCACTATTACTGTGAACAACAGTGGAGATCTGCTGACTCTTTAGGAATCTAGGAGCAGGTTTCTGAAAGGGCTCCTGTCTCATACAGGACACACCCCTCCTTCCAGCAACAAAGGATGTGACGTGTGTGCAGGGTTTCTTCCCAGGGGTTCCTTCTTGAGACTCAGAGATTTTGTTAGGGCTTGTCATAAGACTCTCAGAAAGAAAGCAGGTATTTCTGTAAATCACATTTTACAGTGTAGGCGTTGCTAGTACAGCAGAATACTCTGGCCCAGTCCAACAAAACAACCTTATCAGTTGTTACATCCTTAAAGCTGAGTACCCAGAAGTCAACCAAAGGCCATTTCCAGGGCAGGCCCTTCCAAAGATGGCATTCTCTTCTTTTTCCTTGCACCACCAGCTAGTTGAAAACCACTGCTCTGTTGTTCTGTGGAGTATTCATCCTACAGCCTGAAGGGGTTCTTCATGGGAATAATTTATTACTCTATCCCCTTCAGGCTACAATCTGAAACCTTCAGGTTCAATTTTGGGCTTACATACTTTGCAGGTGTACAGGGGTGTGGCTCACATCAAGGACGAGGGGCATGTGTCTGGACGTCACATCTACTTTAGTGTTGCTGGGGATGCTCGGTGAGTTGAGGAGGTGACCATCAGTTTGTTTGTTGTCAAGCTCTCTGTCACTTTTCTCCTAAAGGTTTTGATATCCACCAGGAACCGTCACTTAACTCCTTATTTCATTAGCATTTACAGTGAACTCATTCCTTCTGTGTTTGTAAATGAGTTATTCTGTATTGAAGAACTTTCTCCCATCTAATTTTGTTAATGTGAAACTGTTTATGATGAAAGTTATTTTTCTTTAATTATCAATTTTATGGTTGGCAGTTGTTGCCTTATCAACTTTCAGTGATGTCTACTTATTTTATTTATTTTCTCTTTCATTTTTTTCCCCTGAATATCATGTTGAAATTAAGGATTTATTATAATCCACTTTAACCAATTGCATATTTTCTAGTTAAAAATATAATGCCATGCCAACTTTTAAAATATTTTTCTTTTGAATTGATACATAGAAATTATATACATTTGTGATGCACAATGTGATAATTCAGTACATGTATATAATGTGTAGTGATCATATCAGAGTAGTTAGTATTTATAGATCCTTAACATTTATTTTGTGGGCTTTCAAACTCTCCTGTCTTTAGTTCTTCATAAAATGCATAAGTGATTGTTGTAAACTGTAGTTATCCTATTGTGTTGTAGAATACTAGAACTTATTCCTCCCATCTTACTGCACAATGGTCCTTCAAAAAGTTTGTGGAAAAGTGGCATTAAAAGATAAGTCTATTTTAGTGCAAAAAACTTTGGAAATCCAACTGCAGGTTTTTCATCATACACATTTGCATGAACTCTTCAGCAACTTGTTGTATCATCTGATGGATAACAAAGTTTGTGTGAAAAAATAAATTTTGGAAACTTATTTCACCTTCCCTCTATTTCTGTTCCCCACGACCCTTCCTAGCCTCCGGTAGTTACTGTTCTACTCTCTTGTTCTTTCAGGTCAACTTTTTAAACTTGCACACATGAGTGAGAACATGTAGTAATTGTTTTTTTGCAGTGTCTAGCTTAGTTCACTCAACATAATGCTCTCCATTCACATTCATTTTAGTACAAATGACAAGATTTCATTTTTTTAATGGCTGCCCAGAGTTCTTTGTGTGTATATATGTATGCCACATTGTCTTTACCCATTCATTTGCTGCTGACAGACTCTTCTATTGGTTCCTCTTTCTGGCTATTGTGAATCATGTTGTAATAAATATGGAAATGCAGGTATATCATTGATAATCTGATTTCATTTCCTTTGGCTATAAATCCAGAAGTGGGATGGCTGGGTCATATGGTATATTTATATTTATATTTAAAATTTATAGACAGAAAAAGGGAGAGACAGAGAGGTCTTCAATCTGCTGATTCACTCCCCAAAATGGCTGCAATGGCCAGAGCTGGGCTGATCCGAAGCCAGGAACCAGGAGCTTCTTCCGGGTCTCCCATGTGAGCGTAGGGGCCCAAATCCTTGGGCCATTTTCAACTGCTTTCCCAGGCCACTGCAGAAAGCTGAGTTGAAGAGTAGTGGCCGGGATACAAACTGGCACCCATTTGGGAAGCTGGTACCACAGTTGGTGGCTTTACCTGCTACACCACAGTGCTGGCCCCAAGACATATTTTTATTTTATTTTTGTTTTGAGGAATATCCACACTATTTACTATAATATCTATAATAAATTACATTCCTACCAACAGTTTGTAAGGGTTTTCTTTTCCCTATATCCTTCCCAACATTTTTTTTTCTGCTTTTTTGATGATAACCATTTAAAATGGAATGAGATATTGCATTATGGTTTGGATTTGCATTTCCTGATGACTAGTGATATTGAATATTTGTTTCATAAACTTATTAAATTCCAATTTATTTTTGAAAAGGCTTCTCTGTTATTCTAGGGTTGGTTTACCTCATTCATATAAATATATAACCTATGAAAGTTACAAAGTTTATACAGATTTATAAATCTTTCATTAATTAGTAGCCATTCTTAATAGCCATTCAGAAAAGAAAATCTGTCGCTCTCTCCCAAGAGCCACCCCAGATTTTAAAATCTGTAAGGATTTCCTACATGGACAGCTTCTATTGTAGAAACAAGAAACAAAATGGCAGAATAAAACAAAATGAACTACACACAGAAGGTTGCAGATCCCAGGGCAGGCCTTGACTGGCATGCAGCCTTGGTTGGGGCAGGCCCTGCTGTGTGAAACTTGGCAGCCAGAGACCTCCCAGGGCTGCTTTCCCAGGCAGCTCATCCAGTTCCTGGAAATCCTTCCTCTCCAGCTTTTCTCAGACTGTGCTCTGTACTATGTATTAGTCACCCAAGGCCCTGCTGTCAAAACTGCCACATCCATGAGACAGATGTTCAGCCATTTTACTGGTGTGCAGTATATTCTCATAGTGATGTCAATTTATATTTTTCTACTGATGATAATGTGGACATATTTTAAATTATTTATTTACCATTAGTGAGATGTCTGTACTGGATGTTTGCTTATTTCTAATTGAATTGTTTGGTTTTGTGCTGTTGAGTTTTGAGTGTTCTTTGTATAGTCCAGATCTAAAGGCTTTGTTGGATATGTGGTTTCCAAGTATTTTCTCTCAGTTTAGTTTATAAGTTTTTCTTTTTATAGATCATGTTATGGGTATCAAGTCTAAGAAGTGATTGCTTAGTTCTACGTACTAAAGACTTTTTTCCAAAAATCACATACTTTTGCTTCTTATATTGAAGTCCAAGTTTAGTTTGAGCTAGTTTTTTAGTTGTGTGGGGTTTAGATGCAGGCTCATTTTTAAACTTGCCGATGTTCAATTGTTGCAGTGCCACTTACTGAAAGGCTGCCTTGCCTTCATTGAATTGCTTTCATTCCTTTGTTATAATTGAGCATTTTTGTGGGATATATTTGAGGTTCTCTATTCTGTTTCATTGCTTATGTGTCTAGCCCTCTTTCAAGACTGCCCTATCTTGATCACTGCAAGTATATTGTAAGTCTTGATACTGGGAAGAGTAATTCCTCTTAGTTTTTCTAAAATTGTTTGGCTATTATTTGATCTATTCACATATACATTTTAGAATGGCTTTACAGATCCTGAATATGGTCTGTCTCTTCATTTATTTTTAGTCTTCTTTGATTTTTAAAAATTTTTATTAATTTTAAGAGAACTGACTTCATGTATTTCACAGGTACAATTCTAAGAATATAACCATACTTCCCTCCCTCCATTTCTTTCTCTCTTAATCCCTCTCCTTCTTCCTTTCTTCTTTCTTGATTTTTTACAAAAACAATTTCAATCCACTCTATGACTATAAGCTAATGTACCACAAACCATATATTTAACAAGTAAAACGTAGAAAGATGGCAGTTTCACAGGAATATAAACAAGG